CTCCAGTATAGTAGGTGGCGGTAATGCACCTTAACGTTGGATGCCACCCGCCATAAAACATGAAGAAGAAGAAGAAGAAGAGTAATGTTCGCGCTGCGCTGTTGTAACTTGATCAGCGCCGCGCTGTCAGTTCGGTGGTGCTAGTAAACACGTCCTCTCTGCGCTGTCGAGTCGGTCGCGCAGCTCGGTCCATTGAACACTTTAATACCGCGCTGTTTCATCCCACTTTTGGGTTGTTTGGCTTCCCATACCTCCCGTCTCCTCTCCTCGTCTCCTCTCTTCTCGTCTGCTCTCCTCTCCTCTCGTCTCCTCTCGTCTCGTCTCCACTCTTCTCCTCTCGTCTCCTCTCCTCTCCTCTCTTCTCTTCTCTTCTCGTCTCGTCTCGTCTCGTCTCGTCTCGTCTCGTCTCGTCTCGTCTCGTCTCGTCTCGTCTCGTCTCGTCTCGTCTCGTCTCGTCTCGTCTCGTCTCGTCTCGTCTCGTCTCGTCTCGTCTCGTCTCGTCTCGTCTCGTCTCGTCTCGTCTCGTCTCGTCTCGTCTCGTCTCGTCTCGTCTCGTCTCGTCTCGTCTCGTCTCGTCTCGTCTCGTCTCGTCTCGTCTCGTCTCGTCTCGTCTCGTCTCGTCTCGTCTCGTCTCGTCTCGTCTCGTCTCGTCTCGTCTCGTCTCGTCTCGTCTCGTCTCGTCTCGTCTCGTCTCGTCTCGTCTCGTCTCGTCTCGTCTCGTCTCGTCTCGTCTCGTCTCGTCTCGTCTCGTCTCGTCTCGTCTCGTCTCGTCTCGTCTCGTCTCGTCTCGTCTCGTCTCGTCTCGTCTCGTCTCGTCTCGTCTCGTCTCGTCTCGTCTCGTCTCGTCTCGTCTCGTCTCGTCTCGTCTCGTCTCGTCTCGTCTCGTCTCGTCTCGTCTCGTCTCGTCTCGTCTCGTCTCGTCTCGTCTCGTCTCGTCTCGTCTCGTCTCGTCTCGTCTCGTCTCGTCTCGTCTCGTCTCGTCTCGTCTCGTCTCGTCTCGTCTCGTCTCGTCTCGTCTCGTCTCGTCTCGTCTCGTCTCGTCTCGTCTCGTCTCGTCTCGTCTCGTCTCGTCTCGTCTCGTCTCGTCTCGTCTCGTCTCGTCTCGTCTCGTCTCGTCTCGTCTCGTCTCGTCTCGTCTCGTCTCGTCTCGTCTCGTCTCGTCTCGTCTCGTCTCGTCTCGTCTCGTCTCGTCTCGTCTCGTCTCGTCTCGTCTCGTCTCGTCTCGTCTCGTCTCGTCTCGTCTCGTCTCGTCTCGTCTCGTCTCGTCTCGTCTCGTCTCGTCTCGTCTCGTCTCGTCTCGTCTCGTCTCGTCTCGTCTCGTCTCGTCTCGTCTCGTCTCGTCTCGTCTCGTCTCGTCTCGTCTCGTCTCGTCTCGTCTCGTCTCGTCTCGTCTCGTCTCGTCTCGTCTCGTCTCGTCTCGTCTCGTCTCGTCTCGTCTCGTCTCGTCTCGTCTCGTCTCGTCTCCTTTCCTCCTCTCCTCTCCTCTCGTCTCCTCTCATCTCCTCTCCTCCCATCTCCTCCCCTCCCCTCTCGTCTCCTCTCCTCTCGTCTCCTGTTCTCCTCTCCTCTCTTTCTGCTACCACAGCTCTTCATTATCAAGTAGAAACTTTTGCTATAGTTTGCAGTAGGTTTATGGTTTTATGGTGAATTGATCCTCTAGATGGCGTCAGAGAGTCAGAATTTCTTTCAATTCTATTTCAAACTCCAGTGGACTCTTTTCACTGACAGTGACGATGTGTTTCCACACATATTACCATCCTGAATCTAGCAAAAATTTCACATTACACTTTATGATAAGGTCCCATTAGTTAACATTGGTTAATGCATTAACTAACATTACTAAATCACTTCATTCCTAAACATCTGTTATTCATTTACAGTAATTAATTTATTTATTAGTATTTAATTAGTTAATAAAAGCATAATAATATATTAGTAAATGTTGATGTTTAACTAAAATTAATAAATTATTTTTCATTGTTAGTTCATGTCAGTGTTATTTTAGTAGCATTGAGATACTATTATAGTTTCTATTAATTCTAATTTTAGATAATTAACTCTTTTCCTGTTTGACACTGTAAAGCTGCTTTGACACAATCAGTATTGTATAAAGCACTATACAAATAAAGGTGACGTGACTTGACTTTTAGTTGTAATTATTTTAAAACATCACATTAAACTAAATGAAAATGAGCAATGTTTTCTTGGAACTAGATTAAATAAAATACGATTCACCTTCTTTTTTAGAACCTCAAGTTTTAGTTCAGTCAAATTTTATTTTAAGTGGTTTTTGTTAACTGTACTGACCCTGGTTTATGTTAACTGATGTTTACAAATGGTACCTTATTGTAAAGTGTTTTCTATATGTTCTATATTGAGTTCTATTTCTGTACTACGTTATGTAAATAGTACAATCTTTCTATGATTTAATCTGAGGAAACGGTATGGTGGGTTTTTTCTTATGCTACGGGAAATGGAAAATTCATATCTGTCTATGACGAGAATCCTGCAGATGTGAAAAGGCTCCATTCGACATCCTTATTTCTCAGTCATTTGGAGAGCGTTCCCATTGTTTGAATTGAATCCTATTGCGTGAATCTGACCGTTTGTCAACTTATCTTCTCTCTCTGTGTCTGTGTGTGCGTCTGTGTGTGTGTGTGTGTGTGCGTGCGTGTGTGTGTGTGTGTGTGCACAGTGGAAGCGGAGCCGCACTGTAACTGCACCACCAGCGTCTGCTCCATGTTCTCCACCAGCCTCTACTACCTGTACCCCTTCAACATCGAGTACCACATCTTCGTCTCGGCCATGCTGTTCGTCATGTGGAAGAACATCGGCCGGACGCTGGACCTCCACAGCAACCACAAGCGTCCCAGCACGAGGAGCCCGTGTCTGCTGCTCGGCCCGCTGCTGGGTCTGCTGGCGCTGGCCAGCTCCGTCACGGTCCTGGTGGTCTACCTCATCCACGTGGAGAAGTCTCCTCAGGCCGCCGTCTCCATGTTCTACTGCTACGGTGTGGTGATGCTGAGCTGCATGTGTGTCGCGAGCGGAGCCGGGCTGCTGGTGTACCGCGTGGAGGACTGGCCAATGGACATGGGTTCGAACCCGTCACGCACGCTGGATACGGAGCTGCTGCTGGGCTCGTCGCTGGGCTCCTGGCTGATGTCGTGGTGCAGCGTGGTGGCGGTGGCGGCGGCGGGACGCAGTTCTCCGAGCTTCCGCTGGACCTGCCTGGCGTACTCGCTGCTGCTGGTGCTGGAGAAGTGTGTGCAGAACCTGTTCATTGTGGAGTCGCTGTACCGCCGCCACAGGGATCCGGACGACGCGCCTGTGCCTGAGATCTTCTCCGTCACACCGGCGCCCATGGTCCCGCCGTACGACGGCATCGTGAACCGCGCCTACGAGGCGCAGGACAAGCTCTGCACGACTCTGGAGGGAGAGACGCCCAAGAACAGAGCAGCGTTCAGCAG